TGGGACGGTTTTCTCCTGGATTAGAGATGGTTTATGATTAGAGTTGGCTTTGCAAGCTCCAGGTAAGCAGCCATGAGCACAGAGCCGTGAGTACAGACAGCTAGGGAAAACGGGAAGACGAAGTAAGATCCTTCCTTTAAGCAGTGCTATGCTGTTACATAGACTTGTCACATGGATCACAGCCTTGGGAAAAGCACCTTGTATGATTGGGTTGTTAGAAGAAAAGGAGATATGCCATGACCTTTTTTCCGGCATTAACGAAGGAAAGTATTTTGTGTTATGTGTGGAGATCTGTTCTATTTATACGGGTTAGGTGTATTCAGAGAATGTCCATTGGCTTAGTTAGCTCAGAGGACTGAGGCAAAGGAAAGCCCCTTGGGCGTATTTGTGTATTCTGAGTTAGTGTAGACGCTGACAGTTGCCAGACTGCATAGTGGCAGCTCTGGGCATGTAGAGAAGCAATCTTTTAATTACTCAGAACTGTGCTTGCATGGTTGTGTTTTTAGGTGCCTCATGGGCTAAGGGGGTGTCCAATGGATTGGGCACTCTGAGATATGAGTCTTTACTTTCCACCTCATTCCCATTTTGGGTGTATTTGTCACTTTGTCAGTCTGCTTTTCAGTTTATTACAGAGAATCCTAGTTTAGCTTGGCAAACAAGTTGACATAAGCTTCATTTATCTTGTGTAGTAACTAAAGTAGCTAAGACTTTAAAGCCCAACTTCCTACTTTCTCTATTATATTAGTTCCTGTTTTGAAATGTGATGATATGTTTCTGAAACTGCTAGTTAGCTGTTCCCCTTGAAAATTCACACAGACATATTTTAAGAACCTTTCCTTTCATACTCAAGTGTGGTTTCTTTAAATTATTAATTCCCTTTCATAAATCAGGTCAGACTTCCTACATAACTCTTCTTATTTTTGTCCTAAAATAACCTGCAGTTTATTCTAGACACTAAGAGTAATCTTACTCTTCTATTCTTAGAAATATATGAATAGATAGATGTGGTATGATACAGTAGAGAGTAACAATATAGACCTAAGTTCTTTCATTATTTATTAGGACTGTGGTAGTGCCCAGAGGCTGTAGTCAGAATCAGCGTACAAACATATGGTAGGATGCACAGAGCCTCTGTTCTGAAGAGCTTTCCGTCTCGTTTAAGTCAGAACTTGTCGAGTCTTTTGCATTAACAAAAGGGGTGAACAAATGAGGAACAAAAAGTTCAGTTGACCGCATACTTCAGCTAGGCGCTCAACTGGGTTCTGCTGACTCATTTATATTATTTTTAATATTTTGTCCTGTTTGCCTCTGATCAAGCAGTTATTATTTGAATGACATATGTGTGTGTTAGGGCTGAAGTTTGCCCTAAGGAAAAGAGGAAAGTAGCCTACTGTCAAATTAATACAGAACAGGCATTTTATAAGTAAAGGGGAGAGGATAAAATATCAATAACTTTAGATAACTTCTTATCATACCAATTGCCAACAAAAATGTGTGGAGCACAAGGAAAGCATCAGCAACTGTTATGTTTTTATTTTCTTCAAATACTGTTCTAAATAGTCTCAGATGACTTGTTGGCACCACTTTTTTATTTTAAGTCAGGTTAGGTGGTATTGCATTTTTAATTTAGATAAAGCAAGTGTGTGGTGCCTGGAATATTTATTTTTGTATTTATGTTTTGAGGTGTTTTGTTTGCTCCGTGAACCCAACTAAATAAAGGTAATTAAATTCATTTTAAATTTATCATTTTTAGGTAGTGTGTCCACTGAAGGTGACACTATGTGACTGACCCAACACTTAATTTTTGTTTATTGTAATCTATGCACATCTGCTCGCGAAGGAGCTAGGGAGCAGGGTTTCTTGGGCCTCCTGTGCCAGCTGCCTCTCCCTGCGCTGTAGTACCGTGAGGAGCACAGCTCTCATGCGGCTGCTCCTACGCGCTTCTGAAAAGGAGGCTGGAACTGTGACTCCCAGCTTGGCCCTCTCAACCAGAAAAGACATGAAGATACTTTTCATTTCTTCCTTCTTGCCAGAAGGAAGACTCAGAATTAAATTGCAGGTATTTAGTCAGAGTATGGCTCATGGTCTGCTCAAGGCAAGACCTTAATGGGCTTGTCAAAAATATTGTATTAATTGGCTTAATTGTATTACCTAAACACAAAGTTAAACCACTTTTCACTACTTACAATTTTACCATACTGTATATTTTAACCTTTCTGCACTGCTGCTGGGAAGCTGTGGAGAAACTGGAGTGTTGGCAAGTAGGTAGAACCCTGTGTGTATCCATAACTGAAATCTCAGTATCTGAAAGGCATTGCTACCCTAGTGGCCTTTTACATATTTCTGTGTTAAAATTCAGTATGGTGTAGTTTGGAAGAATGCTTATGAAAAAAAAAAAGTTTTGTTCCTCTAGAAAAGCTGATGCTTCATTTTCAGAAAAACATTTTAATTATTTTTCTAAGTTAATAATGATCACTGCATTGGCCATAGTACTGTTTTTCTTAAAGCTAGGTGGTTAGATGGTTCTTATGAGCTAAGAAAAGAGCTAATACCTACTGCATTATTTCCATATTGCAGAACAGCTCAATCAAAAATGTTCATGTTTGCAAAAGTATGTTTATGATTATGAATCACTAAAGAAAATTGTTTTTCCACCTTTTACGTTGCCCGAAAGTGTAGAAGGAAAAAGAAGACTATATGATAAAAATATATTCTAGACACGTGACATGAATTCTTGGCAATTTTCCCTTATATTAGTATTTTCATTAACTTTTGCTCCTCTGTGTGTGATTATTCTATGTTTTCTTGTATGCATGGCATGTACTATAATGTCTAATAATATAATGATTGAGTAAAAGGTAGAGAAAGTGTTTATTTTATGTTCCACCAGGTAAGTGTTCTAGTAATCAACAAATGATAGAAAAAAAAACTACCCAAAAATATTTTGCTGTTTTTCATACAAGTGATTTTGAGAAAGTTTGTCATCTGCTCAGTTTTGACTTTGCAAAATGTTATAAATCACATCATAGCTCATCTAGTAAAGAAAAAAATACCTTCCAATCATATTCCATGTTTTCCTGTGTAATTAACACCTCATTCACAGTTGTGTCTGCCAGTCAAAGCCCTGCCTTCTTTCCCTTGACACTTCCTTGATACTTTGTTTAGACTGTTGTGATTTTAAGTGTCATCCTCAGTATACTTTAAATAAGTCCAAACAGGAAAAGGAAGGTGTTTCAAGAAGTCAACAGTATAGATCATTATAACTCAGAGGAACTATTTAAAAAGTATGAAACAATTTATATTTGTTTATTACTTAGAACATTATATTTCAATCTGTTCTTCGTAACTTCTAGTGCAAGTTTACTGTTTATCAGACAAGCTGGGAAGCATTAATTTCCATCTGCATTTCTGAACTGGAGATCAGTCCAAATGTCGCACATCTCAGCTTTGGGAGTTATAATCTAAATAGGAATTTGGCATGAAGGATCAAGGCCCAGAGAAGCATACCCTGAAGTTTCACAAGTGTTTGTTTGGGTGGCACTGCTGGCTAACCACAGACCCTCTTTTTTGGTGCCTGTCCCAGTGCTGTGCCCTGTTGCCCTGTGCCCAGTGCTGTGCCTGCCAGACTAAGTGGTTACTCCGTGAACTGAATGAAGGAACTGATCAAAGTTAAAAATAACTTCTCTGTTTTATGGGCTATCCGTAACCCAGATTACTTTCCTGCTCTGGTTGATCGCAGGGCCACAGGAACATTATCCACACAACGGGGGGCATACCATGGGCTGGGAGCGAGTGCCAGTGGTGAGGGGCAGTGCAGCCTTGAGCCAAATGTAGGCACCTAGCACCACAGTTTGCTTCTGAAAATTCAGCCCGAGCTGCCCCAGTTATAGCTCTGCATCTGCGGCTACTGACAGGATTAAACAGCTCAGCACATGACATGTGTCCCAGCTAGTTAAGACCCAGGAATCTGACACTCCAAATATGCTGAGTTCTTTTTCACACTGGCCTTAGAACACATTGACTGACCGAGGACCTTCGCGAAACGGTGCTAGCAGTGTACATGTTGCCTGTCGTAGGCCAGTGGAGGGAATATACCCCCGTAGACCTAGTTCGGTTCTTCCTTCAACTGGAAGGGCTTCAAATCCCTGTCTCCTGCTTCTCAGGAGGTCCCTGACGTTTAAGCAATAGGTTACCCTTGTAAGCTGCAGGGTATGAGGAAGAGTGATTTTCTACCCTTACTTTTGTCACGTTGTTTATCCAGAATATTGTTTAAGATGAGAGGCAGAGCACAAGAATGGTTTTCTACAGAACAGGGCCCTCACCTGTAAAGACTGGAGCTGGTATTCCACTCCCTAGGTTACTTCTGCAGTTTGGGTGAGATTGTCATGTAATAAAATACAGAAGTCAGCTTAAACAAAGGGATGCGAGCTGTCAGCCAGCATATTCCTTTTTATAAATTCCTAAGCCAAGTTTTTACCAGGGCATGCATCTAATGCTTTTTGTTGATTTAGCTTTATCATATGCAAGGGCAAAATTTAGTCTTCATGGATATAAACCCTTTTTTTTTTCTTTCATCATGGAGCCCAGATATTAGTTATTCTCAGCTATTGTTTGTAAAAATGTGCTTCAGATTTCATTTTGGCAATAAAGATTATTTAGAATAAGAATATTGAGATATAATTTCTTTAAACATAATCAAGATGTTCTTTATGTTACAGCCCTATCAATGTGCATTCACTTTTGAGACATAGCTTTAAAATGTGACAAGAAATGTTACAGTGATACAAATATACTGTTTGTCATAATTATTGAAAATAATCCTAAAAGTACTAGAATTAAAGCAGTGTTGCAGTGACTAGTATAAAGTATTCATTTTGGATAGTTTTTGGTTTTTTTGCTTCTAGGCACAGCAATAAATCTTGCTTTTAAACACGGTTCTTATTACAAATCAGCCATTAGCTTTAATGTTTATAAACATCTGTTTTTCTTTTGGTTTCCAGGGAAGACGAGGCAAACCAGGACTCCCTGGAAAACCAGGGCCACCAGGACCTCCTGTGAGTACCTAACAAGGGGAATGGGAAATTTTCACTCCAACCTAGAGCGATGAATTTTGTTAGCATTTATTTCAGGTTACCTCATAATAATTATAATTGAAAACAATTGATCTGTGTTGATTCTGCTGTATCAAGCAGCTACCATTCCCAGGCTTCTGCTACAGCGAAGGCAAAAGAACTGGGGCTACAAATAAGAGACTACACAGACCAGGATGGAAAGAACAAGATGCACACTGCAGTGGAAGAAACAAATTGTCTGGCATTTCAAAGAAAGACTGGCCATGTATGCTAAGTGTGAATCAGTGCATTCATTCAGTTTACGAAGTGCACGATGCTCTTTTTAAGATGGGATAATTTCTGTCTCAGGGGGTAATTTGAAAGAGGAAGGACTGTGTGAAACATGTGCCAACTGTCTCAATGGTGAGGAAGATTATATCCAGCACTGGAATGAGCACTCAGCTGTAGATCAAATGAGTTTACTGAAGAATTAAAAGATTAAAAAATACAAAACTCTATGAAAGGATTTTTAATGAAGCACTAAAGGTTTTAGTTCAGATCTAAGAGCTTTTGGAGTTGAGATTTTCTTTTAAGAAATACATGATTTCAAATTTGAAGTCAGGAACAGGTCTGGGCTATTTAGGCCTTGAATGAATACACAGCCTTTGATAGAAGAAGATTTGATCATATTTGTAACATTCCCTATATTGTTAAAATACTGTCACGCAGAAGCACAGAACAGCTATTTCCTTGTGGATTAAGCAGATTTCTGCAGCTTCCCATTCGTAGTTTCAAACCAGGATTTTGTGCTTCCTTTTTCTGTTTACCTGAAAAAAATGAAGGCCAATAGTATACACACCAGATCATTTCACTAATCTACATCACTGCAAGTGGAAACTTTTAGCCTTACTTCTAGAGAAGAGAATAGTGGACTGCTACATGAAATAGAATGAATAAAATGAAATAGTTGTCATTTACAGTTATCTGAAAACAAAAAATTATGTTTATTTCCTTTTTCCTTGCAAAATGTGTTTAGAAACACATTGCTTAGAAAAGAGAAGTTGATAATATTTTTCATTTATCCTGCACAAAGCTTCATAGTTAAAAATCCCTCCCTCTCCCTCTTTTCTGCTACATATAGCCCTACTGAAGCCTTACTTATTTGAGTCTTTTGTACAGACTGGGGATCCTCATGCTAAAATGCAGGCTGCAGGAATGCAAACAAAGGAAAAGAGTAACGCAGAATCTTTATTGATTCAAATGGCGAAAATGATCTTTAAAAGAAGAAGATGAGCTACAACAGAGGTCAATGTTAGAGCTAATCAACTAAATTTCTTGTGACCCAGTTCGAAGCTGTTTCTCAGCATGGAATTCTGCCACCAGAACTTTGCTGGCAGGTCAGGCACGTGAGCATGTCAGGCATCTTTCACAGACATATTCGAAGTCTCTAGAGGAAACAAAACTGCGCTTTTATTACTGAAACCTATTTCAAATTTTCTTACAGCAGTGCAAAGCTCAACTTTTTCAGTATAACAGCATCCATATGAAGAGCTCTGTATGGGTGCAGTAGAGAAGTGCTACTATCACAAAAGCTTTCCTCAAGCAATCATGGCCTAAATCTTGTTTTGAGGTATTTGTTTCTGGTACAATGATACTGGTGCAATTCTTATTTTGGATACAGCTACACCAACATTTTATATTCCTCTTCCAAGACTGAGAATATAACACATACAAAAAGCATACAATAACCAGTAATGCATGTTAATGTGCATCGGTAGTATCTCCATAGTTAAAGTACTATAGCTTGTACATGTTGACAAGACTTTAACATGTTTTGTCATTCCTCCTGTCTTTTTTAAGGCTCAAACCATATTAAATTTCTGCTGTATTGCCCTTCCAGTTATTGTTCTGGAGGAGGGAGGTGATCCTCCCCCTCTACTCCACCCTGGTAAGGCCCCACCCCGAGTATTGGGTCCAGTTCTGGGCTCCCCAGTGCAAGAGAGATATGGAGGTCCTGGAGCGAGACCAGCAAAGGGTTACAAAGATAATTAAGGGACTGGAAGCATTTCTCATATGAGGAAAGGCTGGGAGAGATGGGACCATTCAGCCTGGAGAAGACTGAGGGGGGATCTTATCAGTGTGTACAGGTATCTGAAGGGAGGTTGTCAAGAGGATGGGACCAGGCTCTTCACAGTGGTGCTCAGCAACAGGACCAGAGGCGGTGGGCACAAACTGAAATACAGGCAGTTCTGTCTGAACATGAGGAAAAATTTCTTTCCTGTGAGGGTGACAGGGCATTGGAACAGGTTGCCCAGAGAGGTTGTGGACTCTCCTTCCTTGGAGATATTCAAAACCCGTCTGGATGTGATCCTGGGCAACATGCTCTAGAGGACCCTGCTTGAGCAGGGAGGTTGGACCAGATGATCTGCAGAGGTCCCTTCCAACCTCAACCATTCTATGAATCTGTGATTCTGTGGTTGCTATCATAAAATTGGTGTAGATAGGTTACAAAATGCTTAGCTGATTGATTTAACATGTAAAAATTCGATTCTCTGGAAAAAATAAGGTGGATATTTGATTACTGTTTCAGAAAAATAAGAAATTTGTATTTGAGAAAAATGAGATTCAATCATTAATCATTAGGATAGCTACAGTACACACTGAGTGTTTGAAATTATTAAAGGGGTACTTAACTTAGGTACTAGGAAAATAGCCAACTGCTGAGCAATGACGAGAGAAACTTTGAGAAGGAAAGTTCTGCCTCCTTGAGGAAGAAGCTAGTGAACAGTAGATTTGATACAACACTTGGGGATTTGATATAAAAGACAGTCAAAAAAAATAAGTGATTAGGGGAAGCTTATGAGACCACGTTCTGAACAGTCAAAAGGCAACTGTCAAATTGGACACTAGCCAGGGATGTGAGTTTCGGTCAGTTAAAATAATTTTTTTTAAATCTATTTGTGGTAGGGGTGTAAGTCAGAAGCAATTAAGATTTTGTTTTTATCGTCATCTGCTGCTAATCGCACTTTTCTAGCCCAATCTCAGTGACTCATCATTTTTTTTCTAACTTAATTTCTGGATATTATTTTTTCAATAAAATTCATATTTGTAGCGAGTTTCTATTCCCTTAGCATCATCTGCACATCTTTGGTTAAGAACCTATGTCAGTGTCACAAGGTAGATTTATTGAATGAAATTATTTAGTTACAGCGATACTCTCTATGCATGTTCTTCCAGGCATGCTTTATTTTGAATCATTTTTTCCTTTGGAAGAAATCCTGTGCCCGCAAAAGACAAGGAGTCACTGAGGATTTTTACTGATGCGTTATAAAAATATTTCCGTTAGCTTACGTGGATGATGATCTCCAACTCCTATGAGTATTTTTTAAGGTTTACTATACATTGTAGAATTTTAAAACGTTCTGTTATTCTCTTCTGGTTCAGAACTCATGGTTCTGGTCCTTGCTGCCTGATGCTGTTTTTGAGTGTTGTTCTATTATTTCAATACTAGAGAGCTGAGATGTGTGCTCACACTTGTCACACTTCAGTGCATAACAATTTATGCTGAAAACCAGGAATCCAAATGGCTTAAGTAGAACAGCAGCTCCCTCTAGTGCTTTTTGATCCCTTCCCCCTTTAAAGAGTGCAGACGACAGTGCAAAGCTTCTGTGAGTTACAGTATTCCTCTCGGCCTCGGAAGCGTTCTGCACGTTATGATTCTGAAATCAAAATTCCTGCAGCTTTCCAATGTATTTTATACATTTTCTTGCTTGCATTTTCTTCTTAGATCTTAACCTAAGACCTCTTTCACATACTGTTATCTCCTTCTACACGATTCTCCGTCAAAATCAAAATGCTGATTTTACGAAACAAAAGGAAATGCTATCAGAGTAGGACGCTGATGTGAGGTTGTAAGCACAGCATTTTGATCTTGATCTTTTGATTCCAGAACTGAACTGGTAGCTTTCTTCTGCAGTAACTGCTAAGACAAGTGTCTGCAGGTCTCAGCAGCACAGAAAGGGGCTGCCAGCAAAGTATAGCTTTTTTTTGCGTAGAAATAATGTGTAGACTTGCTTGTTCCAGCATGATTTTTTTTTTTAATTTAAAAAAAATTTTATAGGAAGGATCAAAGATTGCTATTTTTATTGCTGTTGGCGTAATGATGCACTGGCCCAATTCTCAAATCTTCACCTAGGCAAAATGCTTTTCTGGTCTAGGACTGTGGAATTACTGCCTGTCTGTTTATGTTTAGAACTCTGTCAGGACGAGACGATCATTTATGTCGCCACTTGTCCTGATTTGGAAACAGCTCCAAACTTCTTGGTGTGTGGCATTGCTTTATGTATTACAATATTATTTATGGGGGATATTGATAATGAAACGCAACACTACAGAACACATCACAGAGTTAACAAAACCTGTTTAAGGCTCAAAGGAATTTATTTTTGCTTTTAGTTGCATACAGTCCTTTTTGGTTTGCTTGTTTGTTTGTTTTACACTAGCCAGCAGCAGGGTATTTCTATGTATATAGGTGCACGAGAGGACAGAAGAAAAAGGTTTCACTGGTTTCTCCATTAAGGGTTAACTTCATCTCTTCTATCTCAATTCTCTGCATCTCCACTAGAACCATTCTGACTGGAGGAATTCCATTTCTCAATAATTCCTATTTATTATGGTGGAACACCAGATTGTTTACAAAATAAAAAGAGTGGCAAGCTAAAGTTGTGCTGTAGACTTCTGCCAATATAACAGTGGTGTTTGGGGTGAGACAGGGTATAACTCTGCTCAGTGTTGCTGTGTGGCTGAAGGGAAATACTATCATCGCTGTTTTTCAAGGGTAGGGAACATGAGAACTATATGATTTGGCCAAGTCTAATTTTGACCGAGAAGCTATCTGTGGCAGAGCAGGGAAAAAGACTTTGAGTCTCCTGAATCACAGGTTAGTGTACTACGATCGAGATTGTTCATCGTCTTAAAACTATTATTCTCTGCTATTTTCTACC